TGAAACTTTCAATTTAGATTACTTTTATTTTTTTATTTTTTTATTTTTTTTAAGTTGAAGATTTTAGTGCCAGACATCACACTATTCATCTTTTCCAGTGTCTTTAATAGATTACTTTTAAAAATTAGTCTTTTGTGCAAACATAAAATGGCAATTATTTAATTTTAAATAGCTGACATTTCTAGATTAATAGTAAAAATCATTTGAAAATAAATTTATGGATAATAAATGTTACTCAGAATTCTATCAATATGGTATAGTTACCTTATGGTTTAAAATATAGCAAAAATTATGCTTAATATTAAAAATTATGCTTAATATTAAATTAACTGCGTTAATTTTTCTGCTGTACTGCAACTTACCAAAACAATGTTAAGAATTCGTCTTTTTTTAAATTTTTATTTTATTTATTTATTTTTTGTGGCTGGCTCAGCCTCCCTGGGGGTGGGGCTGACGTGGCATATAATGCCGGGGATTGGACCGCAGGCCCTGTACTTGCCTAAGCTTGCACTTTAGAGCACTGAGCTATCTCACCAGCCCAAAGAATTCATCTTTATGGTGCTAACTGATCATGGAAATAATCCAGTAATTAACTACATAAAATGTTTATAATGAAGCCATGTTTATTGCTGTATTTAAAAAATTTAAACATTCATTTACTAAGTTATTCTGCTTTACCTTGAAGTACTGTAGACTTATTTAAGTTATACAAATCAGTAAGATCTCATTTATTAAAAGAACTGGGGCTGAGGAGATAGCTCAGTGGCATAAGCAGCTGCCTGGCTATGGCAAGGTCCTGAGTTCGATCTGTGGTACTAAACAAAAACCCTATTCTGTCAAAATGTTGTGTGTTGTGTGGGACAATGTAAATGTTTTTCATGGTTTCTATCAATGTGAAATAAAATCAATTGTGAAAAAAAGCATTTTTAGACTTGTTAAGCAAAGTTGTATGTTTTCCAATTAAATAGTTATTTCCCATCATTTTCTTTGAAAATGTTCCTTGGCAATTTGTAACACACATACACAGACACACATATACACATCATCTGTAATTCCAAATAATTATTTTCTAATTAAGGTTGTGAAAATATTATGTAATCTATAATCTCACAAACTATGGATTAGAATGGTGTCCTTGCCAGACA